GTAGATAATGGTTTTTGTAATCTGAAAATATAAAAACAGCAAGGTAACTAATGATAAAAGTGAGCACAAACGGTATTGCAATGTGTTGAAACAAGGCCTAGGGTTCATACTTTCACTAGTGCAAGTTCCCTCAACAATAATAACATAATTGGATCATATAACTATCCCTCAACATGCAACAAAGAGTCACTCCAAAGTCACTAATAGCAGAGAACAAACAAAGAGATTATGGTAGGGTACGAAACCACCTCAAAGTTATCCTTTCTGATCGATCTATTCAAGAGTCTGTAGTAAAATAACACGAAGCTATTCTTTCCGTTCAATCTATCATAGAGTTCGTACTAGAATAACATCTTAAGACACAAATCAACCAAAACCCTAATGTCACCTAGATACTCCAATGTCACCTCAAGTATCCGTGGGTATGATTATACGATATGCATCACACAATCTCATATTCATCTATTCAATCAACACAAAGAACTTCAAAGAGTGCCCCAAAGTTTCTACCGGAGAGTCAAGACGAAAACGTGTGCCAACCCCTATGCATAAGTTCACAAGGTCACAGAACTCGCAAGTTGATCACCAAAACATACATCAAGTGGATCACATGATATCCCATTGTCACCACAGATAAGCACATGCAAGACATACATCAAGTGTTCTCAAATCCTTAAAGACTCAATCCGATAAGATAACTTCAAAGGGAAAACTCAATTCATCACAAGAGAGTAGAGGGGGAGAAACATCATAGGATCCAACTATAATAGCAAAGCTCGTGATACATCAAGATCGTACCACCTCAAGAACACGAGAGAGAGAGAGAGAGATAGAGAGATCAAACACATAGCTACTGGTACATACCCTCAGCCCCGAGGGAGAACTACTCCCTCCTCGTCATGGAGAGCACCGGGATGATGAAGATGGCCACCGGAGAGGGATTCCCCCCTCCGGCAGGGTGCCGGAACGGGTCTAGATTGGTTTTCGGTGGCTACGGAGGCTTCTGGCGGCGGAACTCCTGATCTATTGTGCTCTCCGATGTTTTTAGGGTATATGGACATATATAGGCGAAAGAAGTCGGTCAGGGGAGCCACGAGGGGCCCATGAGGGTGGGGGCGCGCTCAGGGGCAGGCGTGCCTCGCTTCCTCATGGCCACCTCGAAGCTTCCTTGACTTCAACTTCAGTCTCCTGAATCACGTTTGTTTTGAAAATCACGCTCCCGAAGGTTTCATTCTGTTTGGACTCCATTTGATATTCCTTTTCTGCGAAACACTGAAACAAGGGAAAAAACAGAAACTGGCACTGGGCTCTGGGTTAATAGGTTAGTCCCAAAAGTAATATAAAAGTGTATAATAAAGCCCATAAACATCCAAAACAGATAATATAATAGCATGAAACAATCAAAAATTATAGATACGTTGGAGACGTATCACAAGCCCGACAACATCCCTGCAACTACAAGCGCCGCACCCGACCGCAACTGCATGTCCCCAAACATGGTTGCAATTGGACCTTTATTTTGTCGGACGGGACAACGGGAGAAGGGGCGGGCCAGTTGCGTGTCTGACACTAGGAATGCAACTGCAAATGTCGCACCCAACCGCAACTGCATGTCTTGTAACCCGACTGCAACTCGACTTTTTTATTCTGTCAGAGGGGACGGGTCAGTTGCAAGCCCGACAATAGCCCCGCAACTTCAAGTGTCGCACCCGACCGCAACTGCATGTCTTGTAACCCGACCGCAATTGGACTTTTTGTTCTATCGGAGGGGGTGGGCCAGTTGCCAGCTCGACAACATCCCTGCAACTACAAGCGCCGCACCTGACCGCAACTGCATGTCCCTGGACATGGTTGCAATTGGACCTTTGTTTTGTCGGAGGGGGCGGCGGGAGAGGAGGCGGGACAGTTGCATGCCCAACTCTAGGAATGCAACTGCAAGTGTCGCACGCGACCGCAATTGCATATCTTGTAACCCGACCACAAGTGGACTTTTTTGTTCCGTCGGAGAGGGTTGGCCAGTTGCAAGCCCCACAACAGCCCCACAACTACAAGCGCCGCACCCGGCCGCAACTGTATTCCCCCCAACATGGTTGCAACTGGACCTTTGTTTTGTCGAAGGGGGCGGGCCAGTTGCATGTTTGACACTAGGCATGCAACTGCAAGTGTCACACCGGACCGTACAACTTAACATTCGATTAGCACATGCATGGTCCGTACACAGTTGCATGTACTCCGGCCATGCGCAATTGCACGTCCACTGTCCATGTGCAACTTAACATTCTTTTTCTTTTTAAAAAGTAGTGCCAATGGAGTTATACACATGTCAGTAGCATGTCCGCCTACCACGTGCAATTTGCATGCCTGTCATTTCTATTTTGAAGGAACTGGAGAAAAAAAGACTTGAACAGAATGAGAGAGAGAGAGAGAACACAACACCAACACGCACAAGTTGCAGGAACAGCTAATCTTACCATGCACGACAACTTGAAAAACATTAATGATGCATGAACAGTTAACTGACAGAGATAAAATACAAATGCAAGCCAGCCCATCACAGAAAACAGCAGACAAAGGACAACCGAGCCCACAAACAAGCCCAACAAGCAAACATCATAAACCAGCGATCAGAAACTATGATCAAACAGGACCAGACATAGCAAAGTCTATGTCGACTGAGACCTAGACGGACCCTTTGGATTAACTGTGAGATCTCTAGTCTGTCTTGCCTATATTGTCTACCTGAACTGTCGCATGAAAACTGTATTAATATAATACAAAGTTGCATGTATTGCATATGGGTAAACTTGATCCGATTCAGACTTGCAATTAATCTTCCAAGGAACTTGTGACTCTCTTTCTGAAGCATAGATATGGTTTGCCATCAAACTGCTACCGCCGAGCCTGTGGTGACAGCTGCCGCCATGCAAGGGGAGGCAAAAATTAACATCAACAGAAAAGATGGTGACAACTCAAAATACATGAAGATAATATTTTTACTTGGGATAAGGCCTAGTAGTGCAGTTCTGCGACGAACAGTCATCAATCTAACAAAGGACTCCGTGAGTTTCATTGCTTCAGTCACCGTATTCATCACAATCTGCACGGCGACCATGCAAAAATGTCAGTACGACAGCAAAGAAAGTAGAGGAAATCGGCCAAACGAACGGAAGTTCACCCTACCCCGTCCGGGTGTTGTGGCGGAGCCGCCTTGAATTCACGTCTCAGATTGTCTGTTTTCCTCGTGTACTCCAACCAAGGTCTATTGAAAACAGAATCTTTACCGCAGTACAGTGAACTAGCTTCATCATCACCAATTTTTGCAAGGGTGTCTTGAGCCATGAAGTAGCTCATTGCTGCCACACCTTGAAGAGCACCAAGAAAGGTAACAATAGTTTCCTCAGTGACCTTATCATTGTACGCATCCTCGGCTGTACTGACAAAGTTGCGCACGTACACCCCAAGAGTCTATATGGTAGTATGTTTTAGTACCGAGCGAGTTCAATCAACTAGTTAGTGCTCCATAGTGTATATACCACATCAATTTTTCATGGAATACAAAAACAGTACTATTGTGTTACCATCTTTTCTCCCTTTCTTGGAGTCATCAGTGTGGTGAGACGTGCATCTTCAGAAATTATGCCTGGCTTACCCTGTAATCATATCAGAGAGAAAAGTAGAAGATATTGTCATCGTGTTTAGCAGAGAATTTGTGTTAGAAATCAATGCTACCAGAAACAATTAGTTTACCATGACAATAGAAGCCAGCCTCACAGAATTTTTAGCGATCATGCAAATATAACCTCGAAATATTGTTGCTAACCCCATGTGCTGCTCACCGCAAAAAAAGAAAAGAAAGGTCAGGCCATTTCGACACTAGGCGAAGAGTATGTATTATCAGGCTGCTTAGGTACTATATATACTACGTTTTGTTGATGTACAATTTAAAAAATATTTTTTTTCCTATCTACAATTATGAAGCTATTTCAAAATATTCCTCAAACTATGGGCTCACAATTTTTTTCATGTAGTTTGCTTCAAAGTTACATAAAAAATGGTCCTGAAAATACTTTAAATGATAAAATACTATATATATACTACCTGACATGGGTTTAGAGACATGCGGTAGTAGGATTATTTTTCCTATATACACATATATGGACTCGAACAATTTTTGTACAGAACTCACTTTGCGGTATCTGGTCGTTTCTAACAAAGTGTATTAGAAATTGCTAATAAGGTATAACCGACTCGTCCAACTAGTATATGAGGTGTGGGAGTACATACTCATATATATAAATGATTCTATACTGTTAGGGACAAGGGTTACCAAGGTGCCGCCATTAGAAAACTTCCTGAAGTACTCCTCAATTCTGTCTCCTTCTTCACGAAACTCCTTTTAGAAGAAAAAAGGGACTTCAGATATAAGACTATATGACCAAGACGCTAAGCAAGATATTGTATTAATTATAAAGTTCAGTACTGTATATTTAATAATTTCAGTCCATTATTTCTGGAGTCCTTCAATGTTCGGTCCTAATTTGTTTTATCTACTAGTAAGTACATCTCATATGTTGTCTAGTACAGTTGTGAACTTCAGCATGAGCAGCTAGGTAAGGTTAAAAGGCTTGCAAATATGATGCCCTCGATTTTTCCATTGAAGGAGAGAATGATTCAACGGAAAATAAATAATGACAAACAAATAGGGAAAATAGGATGAAACAAAAAAAAAACACTTCGATTGCCCCTGCTGAAAATACTTCGATATATCTGGAATTTGAAACAGCCAGACGGAATTGAAACAATAGCAGCAATAGGATATTTCTAAACAAATTTATTTGGTTTGCGTTTAGGGATCATGCATATTGTTTCTGTAGAATTAAAAGGGTAAGTTGTGTTGAAGTCAATCAAAGGCATTGTGTCGGGGAACATTAATATTTAGATGCATCAATGGATGACCAGAAAAGGCTTAAAATTCTGATCTTGGAAGGCATACGTAAAAAAGAGAGTATATTCAGTTGATCACAATATCAATCTGGAGCGGAAGTTCAAACAAATCCACCCGTTGGGAGATTAAGTATCAGTTAGTCAAAAAACAGAGGAAGATCAGGTCAAGTGTCTCACATAATCCTTCTCCGCTCGATCCCTGGGGTTGATTTTGATCGTCATGGCGTGACCATCGCCGGCGCCGGCCTGGCTGCAGACGATCCCGTGGCCGACGGGCTTCCGGTTGTTACGCCCATGTGCCGGCGGCAGGGCGCTGCTGCGATGCGGACGGCTGGTCAGGAGGAGGCCGGAGGAGGAAGCGGGAGCGTGGAGGCAAAGGAAACACGGCCGGACGGCGGAGGAAGACATGGTGGCCAGGCAGCAAAGAGATCGATGCAGGGTTACGCCGTTGCCTTTTTTGGACCTACTAGGGGGAGTATTTATAGTTACTGGTTGTGCATACGCGGACGGCACGTTAGATCACAAAACAGATCGTGCGTCTCCCATCATCTCATGATTCTCCATCTCTCTCGTTCTGCTTGCATCTATCTTATCCTTCGACTCACCCTTTCCCATCGGCAGGCACCCACACCGCATGTCCCCCGTGTGGCATGTTAGAGATATAATATTTGAGAGTTAGAGATAAATATATGGAGACTGCTACGCGTTTAGAAAGATTTTTTAAAAAGATTCGCTGCCTCGCAAGTCATTGGATTTGGCACAATCCAGTGGCTTAATGTCTCCCTCTACTTCTTAATAAAGGTTTTGTTGGAGAAACATTTGTAACAAAGGTTATGTTGCATAATATATTTTTGCAACATATAGGTTGTGTTGCGGGATTTTTTTTTTTTTGCAACAGAGTTTTTGTCGTAGATTTTCTTTGCAACAGAGGTTTTGTTGCAGTTTTTTCCAACATAGCTGATGTTGCAAAAGCTTGTCTAAGTTGCAGTCGTCGTTTGTCGCCATGGTTTGCAACACCGTTGCTGTTGCAAGATAAGGTAAAGGGGCACGTGGTAGGCAAGGGAAATAACGGACTGTATGTGTGACGACGCATGGATCAAGGCCATCCAATGGCTGCACAGGTGGCAGAACTCTACACTCATCTGACTGATCCGTGAGCCCTTGGATCGACCGCAATCAAGCGTCCAGCGACGGCTTCGCCTTGCGACGGAGTCGCTCTTTCGGCCGAAACGCGCACGCCACCAGCTCGAGCGCCATCACAACCAAGCAATATCCCCGCCCCCAGCGCCATCACAAACCAACAGTCCAGAGAGGCCGCAGCAACCAACATGTTGTGGAAGCGTCGGCCATGTTGCCGGCTTGCCGCAACACCTGCGAAGCATCGGCCATGTTACCGCAACACCGGCCATGTTATCGAAGCACCGGCCACAACAACGAGCATGCCGCGGAAGCACCGACCGTGTTGCCGGCTTGTTGCAGCACCTGCGAAGCACCGACCATGTTGTCGAAGCATTAGCCGCAGCAACGAGCATGTCGCGGAAGCACGACGAAGCACCGGCCATGTTGGTGTTAGCAACGGCAAAGTATCGGCTATGTTGCTGAAGCACCAGCCATGTTGTCGAAGTAGCGGCTGCAGCAACGAGCATGCTCTGGAAGCACCGGCCATGTTGCCGCAGGCAGCAACACTAGAGAAGCAGCGACCGCGACATTGGCGAATCCAGCAAGCTCGCAACACCAGTCATGTTGCCGAAGTAGCGTCCACAACATGGGAGATGTTGCGACCCGACGAGCTCGAAGCACCGGCGCCAGACAGCACCGGCCATGATGTTGAAGCAGCGGCTGCAGCAACTAGCATGCTCTGGAAGCACCGGCCATGTTGCCGCATGCCACGGCACCAGAGAAGCAGTGGCCACAACATAGGCGAATCCAGCGAGCTCACAGCACCAGTCATGTTGCCGAAGTAGCGTCCACAACATGGGAGATGTTGCGACTAGGCGAGCTCGGAGCACCAGCCATGTTGCTGAAGCATCGCTCGTAACATGAGCGATGTTGCGTTGGTCGCTTGATGGCAGCAGGTTTGCAGCAGCGGTCACTCTTACAAACGGCGGATGGATCAATTGCAGTTGTCGAAAGACCGAGAAAGATATAGACACGCATGAGAGAGACAGAGGCGAAGAAGGAGAGGCATCGACTCAAGCAGCGGGTGGAGTAAAACGAATGGACAAGAAAATTCGGGAAAGGAGACAAGTATAAAGCCAGCTTGGACAGAGATGCCCCACGGGCTGGCCGTGAGGGGTGGTGTGGCTTTTCCTTTGTTTGTTTTTTTGGGCTTTCTTCTAGGCTGAGTTTTTTCTTAGTGCTCGTATTGCCTCGGGACAGGAGCGATTAATCGGGCTGTTCGCTTTGGTTTGTTCCCATTTTCTTTTTGTTTTTTGTTTTTTATTTATTTTCTATTGCTATTATTATTTTAAAAAAATATTGTCACTTGTTTACACATATATCGATGGCATGCAATTGCATGTACATTGATTCACATGCAATTACATGTTTTATTGTCAGTGTCTGTATGCAACTTCTTTTTTCCAAAAATATTATCGCCGACACGCCCATCGACCACACACCGTTTCATGCACATAGGCCATACAGAATTGTATGTATGTCATTGGCGTGTAACTTATCTTTTTTCCTTCTCAAAAATATTTGTCACCGGCCAACTAGACTTTGTTTCTAGTTTGAGTTTTTTTTAACTTTGTTTGTAGTTCGAGTAGAGACCAGTAGGGTCAGTTGCAAGTCCGACACTAGGAATGCAACTGCAAGTGTCGCACCCAACCGCAACTCCATGTCTTCTAGCCCGGCTGCAATTGGAGGTTTTTGTTCTGTCGAAGAGGGCGCTGGTAGAGGGGCGGGCCTGTTGCAAGCCAGGCAACATTCCCATAGCTACAAGTGCGGCATCCGACTGCAACTGCATGTCC